TGGAGAGTCGCCACATGACTCCCGGCACCTGTTCACATGCCCTGAGAACCCCACTAAGCAAACCCCCCTGTCCCTATGGACAGCCCCTGTGGAAGTAGCACACTTCCTGGGCCTCCCCCTAGCTGAAATTGACGACAACGTTGATGGATGAACCGCCCCGAACGGGGCTTAGTAGCTGCTACAACAACAACAACCACCTGGACGAAGGGGGTCAGGCTAGAATTAGGTATACACGTCGATGGCACACCAATACCGACTGTAAACACCCCGAAAATTTTAGGGGTCACCTTCGATAGCCTGCTCTCCTACTCCACGCACACAACCGCAGTTGTAAATAAAGTACAGAGCCGCAACAAGGTCCTCAAGTCGCTCGCCGGCAGCACTTGGGGCAAAGACAAAGAAACGTTGCTGGCAACATACAAGGCAATAGGCCGGCCGGTTTTGAACTACGCAGCGCCAGTGTGGTCGCCAGGGACTAGTAGGACGCAGTGGACGAAGCTACAGACTGTACAGAACACCGCACTCAGGACAGCGACAGGATGCCTCCTGATGTCGCCTGAACACCACCTGCACGGCGAGGCGCAAATGCTCCCTATAAAGGAGCACAATATAATGATCTGCAAGCAGTTCCTGATCGGGAGCCACAGAAGTGGCCACCCAAGCAGACAGCTGCTTACAGAGGAGCCCTCGCCTAGGCACGTCAGGAGGCATCTATATGAACTGACGGACGAAGTCCAGAGGTTCATTAAGCAACCTCTGGACCCGACAGCTTACAGACAGGCCCTGAACGGCATTCACAGGGACTCAGTCTCGAGTTATGTAGACTCTAGACCTGTGAATGCCGTTCTAGGCATACCACCCCCGGACATAGACGAGACGGAGCTTCATCTGCCTCGGGAGACACGCACAACACTTGCACAACTTCGCTCCGGCTACTGCAGCAGGTTGAACTCCTACCTGAGTAGGTTGAATGAGGATGTGCCGAATGAGTGTCCGGCATGCGGAGAGACCCCACATGACTCGAAACATCTCTTCGCATGCCCGGAAAACCCGACAACCCTAACGGCCTTGTCCCTGTGGACAAACCCCACAGAAGCTGCACGCTTCCTAGGGTTGCCGTTAGTGGAACTTGACGACAACGACTGAGATACCAACCGTCCTGGGCGGGGTTGTTGTAGCCGCTACAACAACAACAACAACAACGACATACAGACGAGCCATTAACGACATCCATAGAGTCAGTCACCACATACCTTGACTCTCGACCTATGAATGCCGTAATAGGAGCGCAATCACCACCCGTAGAAGACACGGAGCTTCAATTTCCAAGAGAGACCCACGTTACCCTATCTCAATTACGGTCTGGATACTGTAGCCGCCTCAACAGCTACCTGTCCAGACTCGACCCCAATATCCCCAATGAGTGCCCGGCATGTGGAGAATCCCCTCATGACACCAACCACCTCTTCACATGCAAGCTTAATCCGACTCAACTGACACCCCTTTCCCTCTGGTCCGACCCAATTGAAACAGCTCGTTTCCTGGGACTCCCGTTAGTTGAGCTTAACGACAATAATTGAATGTTGCCCGCAATAGGCGGGCCTTAGTAGTGCCGCTACAATAACAACAACAACACCAATCGAGACTCCCTCTGGTGGTTGAGGGAGCTTTGAAATGTAGTAATTGAACAGCAATGGGGAAAGGACACCACCCTGTGGAACCCCCTGTTTTATTTTTCCAGGTTTACTCGATTTGTCTCTTAACGTTACTGACGAGTTAAATTAAATATTAAAATATGACGTGAAAGAAAGGTGGTAAGACATCCTTAGTTTGAATATTTAGACGAGTTACTGACGAGTTAAATCCTTAGTTTGAATATTTAGAACACCTGTTTGTTTTGCCACCTGTTTAAAAAGGTAAACTCAAATTATTTTAAAAGTTAAAGGCTTTATTTCTGAACTGTGTTTAACTTAACTTAACTTTAAAAACGGCCTCAAGCTCAATAAAAACTGTTGAACATATTTGTTGAAAGGCCATAAAATAACAAAAAACAAGTAACTTAAGGACGAGCACACCTAAAAGTTAAACATTCTAAAAATAGAATTATTAACAAAAACCAACAAAACCAACAACCACATGTCAAGTATGAATTGCAGCGGAATAGCTGCGCTGTGGGGAAAAAGCAACGATAGTTTACAAGGCGAACTTAGCACAGTTCGTAGACAACTAGATGAGTCAGTGGGATCATCGGTTCGAATCCTACTGAAAGAAGTCTGATGAGAAAATGGGGTGAATTCCGAAATAGCTATCACTTCTACCATTTTTTCAACTTATTGTTGCTTTTCCACAATAAATTTTTCATTAAAAACGGCCTCAAGCTCAATCAAAATTTTTGAACATAAGGCACGGTGCACATTAGCGCGATACGATATGCGATGCGATATGCGGTACGATACGCGATGCAATATGAAATGCGCGCAGTGCACATTAGAGCGATGCGATACGCGATGCGACATGCGATGCGACACGCGATACCATTTTGTGATAGCTACACAAACTTTTGTGCCATTATAAGCTTGTTAATGAGTTAAATAAGTTGCTTCTCAACCGAGTTTAGACCTTTCGAATGATGGGTCTATGTTTATAACTATAAATTTTTAAAAAATTTAAGAGAAAAGCATGTTTAATATCGAGTAAAACTGATGTTTATTTTTACAAAGTCCACTAAAAATTAAATTAGATATTCAAATTTTTATGACAAATTATTTCAGAATATTGCTTTCACTACAAGTAGAAATCTGTGAAGGCTAAATTAAAAAAAGGTTAAGCAAAAATTTTTGAGTTGTATAGCCAAAAATATCCTTTTTCTTATGAAAGGTTGAATAACTTTCCCCCGAAAATACACACAGATCTCTTAAATTTTCTAAACGTTTATATACATATATATGTATATCATTCGAAAAGTCTAAACTCGGTATATAGTAGTATAGGTAAGATTGTGTGGGTGTGTGAAAAAAATTTCGTATCTCGATTCTTACTTCACTCGGTAAAACCTACCTGAAAAATAACATGACTTACCAGGTATTTTTACTTCATTATTTTTTGTAGCATTGGGCTATATACACCATATATGTAATACTCCTATATTGGCAGTAAGAGCTATGTACCGTCCGAAAACACTACAGTACAGATATATCAATAAACACGTACGAAAGAAAAGGAACACACACGTTTATAAATAAACATGTACACAACACATATACAAAAACGGCACTCAAGGATACAATACATTGACAAAAACGGTACTAGACTGTCTCGTTTTGATTTCGGAATGCTTACACATTGAGAAGTTAGCTTACTGCCAATATAGAAGTATTACATACATATATGATATACACACAAATTTGTACTTTCTCTATTTAATTTAAAAACTTATTAAATACAATAAAATAACACTCAAGAGAAAAAACATATAAAAATATAACGAATAATCAAAAATAATTACCTGCATACATGATTACTATTTATTTGAATATTTGAAACAAAATAGTTAATAATTATCATTTAAACAAACACCAAATCTTTTTTGTTATTCAAAATCAAAAATAAATAGGTTTAAAATTATTGTATTCTATAAATTTCTTTTTAAAGATATGAAAACAAAGGCAAATAAACCATCACGAAAAATATTCTTTTGTGCATTTACCTGTGTCCTTGACCTCAGGCGCTATATTTCTCAATGCCAAACTAGTCTTGTTTGTTCTACAGTAGTTTTTTTCGGTATAGTTCCATAAACATGTTTTTTTTTATTAATTCGACTAAAAAAAAATTGAGGATGATGATTCCGCCTCTGAAACGATCGTGCTTATTGCAAAAAATGCCGCGCAATACTAATCTCACCTCGTTCAGAAAACCGTATCGCACGTGCGATACACATGCGATATTATATCGCATCGGTGTCGCTGTCGTGCAAGTGTGCACAGTTTTCATCGCCACTCCCCTGTATCCGCCACTGTGCTCATCTAAATTGAATAATAAATGTAGAAGTCACGAGCACTTAGGAAGAGATACAAAAAGTTTCTATACAAATTTATGATTTGAATATTGTGGAGTACAAACCTTTTACTACAATTTTTAATCGCTATATCTCAGAAATGGTAATCCTTAGGAAAAAAGTGTTATAACAGTTTTTGTAGATAATTGTATGATCTACACGTTGGTCACACCTATTTTTATGGTAAACCTCACCGTTTTGCCGAAAAATGCAAAAAAAACCAATTTATTTAACCTTGAATAACTTTTTTTGGACGTGGGATCGATGGGGATCTTCGACATTCCATTCATAATGGTGTTTTCAACATTCTGACTTCATGACTGACTTCAATGGGCTAAAAACGGAATTGAAGTTTTGAATTTACATACTAAATATACTCCCATAGTAAAAATTAATATACATATTTTTTGTTCTAGTGCGCTACTGGTAATTATTACAGCTATGAAATTTTTACACGACATAGAATTGCACCTAATTTTCCTTTTCCAAGTAAAGGCTAAATTAGTGGTGACATATGCCTAGTCATAACCATTACCATAACCGTAGCCACAACTATTATCGATTATATGTAGGTATCATAACCATAAACAGCTGATTTTTCGTAGTCACTAAATTCTTAAAACTCATAGAAAAATATGTATGTACATCAAATTAAAGGTAATAACTTTCTTAATAATCTACATTTCTTTTGCATTAGTTATGAACTTTTGTTAAAAAAAATGTTATTTTATGAAAAAATACGAAATTTTTATTCGTTTTTTAGTATTTTTGAATTAAAAATATAAACATGCATATAAGAAATCATCAGCTTCTCAATCGGTTATGAGGTTCATAACATATTAATATTTAAAAAATTAAATAAATTTGCATTGAACATTTCATATCTTTTTTATATTATTGCGACAAATAATTTTGGTACAGTTGGAATCAACGTGAGAAGTTCTACTTAGCCACATTTTTGGTTTTTACACAGCTAAATGGTTATAATTCTACACTTATGCCAAAATGTTGGCTTTGAACAATTTCTTTTTTGAACGTCTGGCAACACGTTTTTACTCGCACTTCAGATATTAGATGATTATGAATATGGCGGAAAAGCAAAATTCAATTGGTTGCTATAAACATTTATTTTATGCATGTTTATTTCAAAAACTTCTTTAGAAATCTTTGTTAGATCTGATTTTAGCAGTGTTTCTTCAACTTACAAATGGGAAGAGGTCATAAAAGCAAAGCAAACTGATTTTTGTTTATTTTTCGCGTTTGCCTTAAAAATACTTGGAAGTACGAGTATTATCGATACTTTTTTGCAAGTATGAGTACTGGCATCGATTCTTCTTTAGAGTATTCTAATTGAGTACTAGTATCGATACTTTTCGAAAAAGTTCCATCACTAATCAGAACCATAGCAATTAAATATTCCGATAAAACGTACGCGCAGCTCTGTAAATAATTATTTGTGCTTTTCTGAAATATATTTGCCCTTTTCTGAAATACATTTGCGTTTTTCTGAAAATAATTTGAACTTTTCTGAAATACAATTGTGTTTCTCTGAATTTCATTTGGCTTTTTCTGAAATACATTTGGCCTTTTCTGAAATACATTTGAGCTTTTCTGAAATACATTCGCCCTTTTCTGAAATACATTTGAGGTTTTCTGAAATACATTTGAGTTTTTCTGAAATTCATTTGGCCTTTTATGAAATTCATTTGGCCTTTTCTGAAATACATTTGTGTTTTTCTGAAATACTGTTGGAAAAGGTGTAAACAGTCTTTAGAAGTTCACTGAGGAAGGTGGTACGCAGAGATTCTTCATTACGAGGGTAAACAAATTTGAAACTATTTGCGACTATGCTTCCACCAAATTAAAGGATTTTCTTGTCTGGGTATAAGGGGTAGCTGTAAATATTTCTTCATTTCTATATCGCTCCCTTTTTTTCTTGTACGGTCGCACAGTGGGCCCCCATATAAGCGGCGGCCAAAAGTAGTAACCGTCCTACAAATTCGCTGAAATTTTGTATATGCGCTATTCTGCACTTAAAAATGAAGAAATGTGGAAAGTGGTAAATGTCGACGCGCTACCACGCTCACAGCTCTTGTGGGCGGAAATAGCTTGATAAAAACATAGTAAGGTAGAACCGTTCTCTCAATTCATCGGCCATGATTTTTTTTGAAGTTTGCCAAAATTTATATTCAACAATTTATATGAGCTTGAGGCCGTTTTAAGTGAAAACTTATTGTGAAAAAGCAATAATAATTTGAAAAAATGGTAGAAGTGATAGCTATTTCGGAAATCACCACATTTCCTCATCAGACTTCTTTCAGTAGGATTCGAACCGACGATCACCACAGACTTGCCAACATTTTAAAATAATATAAAATTGAGAGTAAAAAAAGGAATTGTTCAAAGGTGTTGCTGTTTGTGATTGAAAATGAAAATGTGTGCGTGAGTTTGTGTGTAAAATTTTAAAACTAAATTGCTTGCAAACGTCAAGAATTTGAAACATTCCTCCCAGCGGTTCTACCTCCATTTTTTTTATCATGGGAAATAGTAAAATGTGTTATCATATTATACGCTGGTTTTATAATTATAAAAGTATAAATCTGAGAGACCGTCAAAATTGGCTTACATTATTGTCCACCAATTCTAGAAAAAGAGGATCAAATACAATTTTTTTTTTCGATGAAATTTGGTGTACACTGCTCGTTTTTTGAATACCCTATTGTACACAACAGTTTCTTAACCTCAATTTCTTTTGTTAATCTTATATTTAATGTTGTATTCCATAGGATAACACTAAAACTGAAGAATCGTATGACTTTGATTTTTTTGGAAAAAGAGAAGAACCTAGAAGACCTTCAGACACTACTTCAAACCGACAGCAAACTAACAAGAAAAAATGTGATTGGAGCGAAATGGAGGTAAAGTAAAATTAATATAAAAATGTAGATATTTGCACTTGAGCTAGCGTAACCTACTCGACAAGAAAAAGACTAATACTGAAAAAAAAACTTTTCTGGCGTAGAATTTTATCCTGATTCCGAATATCATAATAGTTTCTCTGCGTCAGACCTAGTTTCCCAGATATCGGTGAAAATATGAAAAAAAAAACCCATAGTTGCGACACATTACATGACATACATACAGTATCGGTCATATCTATAGCACGCCATTTCAAAGTGATATTGTGTGCCACTTATGTTTATTTATTTATTTTTAAGAATTTTCAATTAAAATACAGTTCTTTCACTAACAAAACCCATATAAACCCAAGTTTAACAATTTGTAGAAAACTACAAAAAAGTGCAACGAATTTTCGCCTAAATTTCAAACTTTTTTCTCGGAAGTGTTAGAATTTTTCTGAATACACAGTTTTTTAGCCCCTGCAGTTTTAGTCTGATAATGTGCCAGTTTCAAGTGGCTAAAAGTTACCGTTGATTTTTTAGAATTTTTTTCGCCAAGGGTGTTGCGGTTTTCTTCCATATACAAATAATTTGAGTGTATTCATTATATGGAAACCAATGTGACAAAAAAAAATCTAAAAAATTCACGATAATTCGTAGCCACTTGAAATTTGCACATTATCAGACTAAAACTGCAGGGGCTAAAAAACTGTGTATTCAAAAAAATCTTACACTTCCGAGAAAAAAGTTTGAAATTTAGGCGAAAATTTGTTGCACTTTTTTGTAGTTTTCTACAAATTGTTAAACTTGGGTATATATGGGGTTTATCTGAGAATGAACTATATTTTAATTGAAAATTCTTAAAAATAAATAAATAAACATAATTGGCACACAATATCACTTTGAAATGGCGTGATATAGATATGACCGATACTGTATATATGCGCATCGAAAAGTTGTATTTGTCATCCTGTCGGTTTTATATCTGAGAGAGATTTGTGGAGAGACTCCAACCAAATTTGTTTGCCTTAATAGTCATAAATCGCACAAGTGGTTTGGTTACTATCGTTATTTTCTACAGTTTCAGATTTCACCGCCTTGAAATCAGAAAAAGTGCTTTTGTAAAAGCCCTATCATGCGATTAAACAGCATTTGAATTTTTAGTACTAATATTCCTGCTATATCGATATATATTCAACAATTTTTATGAGCTTGAGGCCGTTTCAAGTGAAAAGTTATTGTGGAAAAGCAACGGAATAGCGGAATAGCTGCGCTTGATTGTAGTTGGCTTAGCAAAGTGAAATAGTGGAAAATAAGCAACAAGAATTAACAAGACAAACTTAGCACAGTGCGTAGGCAACTGGCTGAGTCAGTGGTGATCGTCGGTTCGAATCCTACTGAAAGAAGNCTATCACTTCTACCATTTTTTCAAATTATTGTTGCTTTTCCACAATAACTTTTCACTTGAAACGGCCTCAAGCTCATAAAAATTGTTGAATATATTTTTTAAATATATTTTTTATCCGTTCCATTAAAACTTGCCATTTTTTGAAATTTTGATAAAGAAAAGGTTTTTCTGGAGTAACGTGGGAAACCCTGTTTTTAAATTTATTCCAAAATTTTTATTCTTATAGTTCTTTGCTATATATATGGAAATGAAAAATGTCAACCCAACATTTTATGTCAAAGAATGTATTTTTGACATTTTTTATTTACATTTAAAATTCTTATGGCCTTATTCATAAAAAATAAAGTAGCTTTATAAACTGAAAAATGTATAAAAACGTCATTTTATAAAACTCTTTAAACCTACTTTATTTTTTATGAATAAGGCCATTAGTATAAATTTGTTGACTTTAGTGGATTTCTGACGGCATATAATTTATTTTTCTGTTTAATTCTTTTAGTGGATAGATTACAAAAATACCAAACACGTTCACATTGCAGACTACGAATATCTCGATTTTTGCCCACTTAGTCGTCACTGTTTGACGGAAAAAATAAGTCAGTTTCAAAAATCAACATGTGTAAAAAGTAATTTTTAGCCAACTAATTTGTAATGAATTTTAAACAAATGCAGCATGAGTCAGTTTTGATTTCATATTCTATTTCGCCGTTCTTCGTTAACTTCGTTTCATTTAAGTAGATGAATTAAAATTACATGTAAACGAATTTAAAACGAGTAAAGAAGTCAAGTTTGGGCGAAGCCGAATTAAATACCGGGCTCATATATTAAATATATATTTTTTTTAACTCTCTGAAAACTACCCTTACATAAATTAGAAACTTATTTCCAAAGTTCGGCAATTCAAGGCTCGACTAAAATATGATGGTGAACATAACGAGGTTGTTTTACTCTGGGTGCCAGGTCACTCTGGAGTACCTCGTTATGAGACATCTGATCATTTGGCCAGAGTTTGCTCAGACCAGCCATTCCTCGGTCCGCAACCAGTTTTAGCACTCCCACCTTCGGCAATCGAAGCCACCATCAGAAACTGGGTGAATACTTCGCTCAGAAATTACTGAGAGGCATCGAGGTGGGCAAAACTCATGTTGCCTTCAATCTCACAAGGTCCATTTGCCCATCTAGCCTTGAAGAAGATGAGACGGTGGAACACTTTTTGTACTTGTGCGGTTCGGCTATTTGTAAAATGATTTGGGTTCTTTTAGCATACACTTGAAATATGGACTTTTCCGTAAATTTTGGAGTGAGTTCTATGCAAAAATACTGTGGTGTAGCCGAAGTTGACTGATGAAAGTTTTTTGTAATACGATTGGGAATATTAGGTTTTTATATTATCGGTTTAAAATATTTTAAAATTCGAAGAGAAAGGACAAAGTTATTGAAAATCGCTAACTAAGCAAAACTAAAAAGTTTATATAAATAGCTTCGTCAACGCATTTTAAAATTATCCGATACTAGCCTAGCGATAGCATCGATAGTTTCAATGCAAACTATCGAAAACATTGAATGGGATGAATATCGATAGTTTTACAGCTCTAGCCTGAAAGAATGTGTAATAGTTTTTGAATTTAGCAACTGTTAGGCCTTACTTAAGGCGAGATTGTTGATTATCTTCCACTATTCATTTTCAGATCATACATTTAATCTGCACTTAAATGGCCAATATCGGCTATTTAAATATGAGCTATGCAACACAGTTTTTATACCAGACAACCAGGATTGATTGGTAGGGTGTTTAATCAATCCCACCAAAAAACAATTAGCTGTTCAGCAGAAAATGTAAACAAACAAGCAAATGCAACAACAATTTCAAGGAACAAGCAGCAGTGGTGCCAATTGGTTGGCATATTTAAATAAAATTGACCTGAAACCCAACGAAAGCTAAATGGCATTTAAACACAAATCCACAATTAAACTTAAAACCCATTTAAATATTAATTTGAAATTGGACCTTAGACTATAAAATCCTTACTTTTGACGACAAAACTCAGCCTTAGAGAGTTTTTACTTACTTACTTGCTTGCTTTTTATTTCTATAACCAATTTGCCAATCTCAGGAAGGAACACAGTAATTCCAAGCATTTTTCGTTTTATTAAGACCCGTTAAATAAGTTGCTCAATTTTAACGGGTTTTGTTAAACTTTTTGAAAGATTTTGTTGAAATTTATTTGTCGGGCGCGGCAACACTGGTCCGTTATCGGACGTTTCGTCGTGGAGGCTGAATTTTCCGTCAGTGGCGCCAAAGATCCCTTCCTTGCCTTGGCATTAAAATCACCGAGCACGATTTTGACATAGTGTCGGGGGCAGCGCTCATATGTACGTTGCAAGCGCTCATAGAAGAGATCCTTGGACGCCTCATCCTTCTCTTCCGTCGGGGCATGGGCGCAGATGAGCGAGATGTTGAAGAATCTAACTTTGATGCGGATTGTGGCTAGGCGTTCGTCCACCGAGGTGAACGCCAGTACTCGGCGACGGAGTATATCTCCAACCACGAATCCAACACCGAATTTGCGCTCCTTTACGTGGCCACTGTAGTAGACGTCGCAAGGTTTCACACTTACGTTTCCTTGCCTCGTCCATCACATTTCTTGGATGGCGGTGATCTCAGCCTTTGTCTTCTCGAGGACATCAACCAGCCGGGCAGAGGCACCTTCCCCATTAAGGGTCCGGATATTCCAGGTGCATACCCTCAATTCATAGTCATTTATACGTTTGCCGTGGTCGTCATAAAAAAATGGGGTCTCATCCGAGGCTTGTTGGAATTTTTCATTGGGCGGGGTTTTAGCGTGGCGGGACCCAAACCCGGCGCACCCGAAGTTTTACGCCTTCTCACTTTAGCTCGCTCCCAACCGGGTGTTTGGTTGCTACCCAGAGTATACGTGGATATAAATATCCGGACGTTGTGAGCTGCGATTTCAACCGTACGCACAAAAATCGCTTCTGGCCACTCCCAGATGAATAGCAGTAAAAAGTTTTCCACTTCTGCGCACGGAACCATCCTCCATCAGTTACTATCTACTGAAGCGAATTTATTCAAACTTAATGTTTGCAATAATTTCTTAGCAAAAAATACGTTTAAAATAAATTTTTGGAAAATGGACGTTACAACGCCCACATACATATATATATATGTGTATCTCGGCAACCTTTCCATAAATTTGTACCAAACTGGGTATAATTATTTTACTTGCCACGGACTTAAATTACGCCCACTTTTCATATAACGGCATATTTCGGAAATACTGAAACTTCGATATTTCGAAATTTAAGGACCTAATTTACTCAAAGCTTATACTCACAACAATCCCTTGAAAAGAAGTAACATTATAATGGAATTTTGGAGAATGGGCGTGATACCGCCCACTTATAACTATATACAGATGCGTGCAACTAATTAGCAATGAAATTCAAAACGATATTGCTTGCAAATTATGTTTTTTTATTTATTTTTAATCATTTTCATTTAAAATATAATTCAATCTATATCAGAAACCACAATAACAAAAGTTGCAAAGCTTGCACAAATTGCAAAAAAAATTAATGAAACTTCAAAAAATTGTCAACAAAATTTCAAAATTTTTAATTAGACTATTTAGAAAATTTTCGGGTATGCAGTTTTGTAGCCCAATCAATTTTAGTATAATAAAGTGCAAGTTTCAAGTCGCTAAACATTACCGTTGATTTTTTAGAATTTTTTTTGTAGAGGGTGTTGCGTATTTTCTTCCATATAACACATGATCAAAATTATTTTTACATGGAAAAAAATCCGCAACACCCTCGACAAAAAAAATTCTAAAAAATCAACGGTAATTTTTAGCGACTTGAAACTTCCACTTTATTATACTAAAATTGAATGGGCTACAAAACTGCATACCCCAACATTTTCTATATATTCTAATTAAAAATTTTGAAATTTTGATGACGATTTTTTTAAGTTTGATTAATTTTTTTGCAATTTGTGCAAGCTTTGCAACTTTTGTTATTGTGGTTTCTGTTATAGATTGAATTATATTTTAAATGAAAATTATTAAAAATAAATAAATAAACATTATTTGCAAGCAATATCGTTTTGAATTTCGTTGCTAATTAGTTGCACGCATCTGTATGTAAGTATCTCATTATGGTTTATTGTTTAATTTAACTAAAGAAAATTCCATAGAAATTTACTTTAAAATAAATAAGTTAACGGCCCTAAGTCTAACTGAACGTACTATTGAAGATGTTTGAAATAGGGGTAAAACCACCCCTATTTACCATGTAGCGGTAATTTCCGGAAAGGTAAACCAACTATATTTAATACGTGCGCCGTGTAATTAATGTTCGGCTTCGCCGGAAGCTAGACTTTTTTGCTTGTTTTATTTTGTAATTACTTTGAGCCAATGGTTATGTCTGGAAAACACATCGTTTGGAATAGTAAATATGGGTTACTCTTGGAATATTTCCACATCATAGAATTATTGTATATGTATGTATATGGTTGAAACCACCCAGCATTTTATGAAATTATTGATCATATACGAGTCTTTTTTGAGTCCTCTGCGCGATTAAAACAATCATAAATGTGCGCATATTCTGATCATAAAAGACTCTTTTGTCGGTAGAAAATGGTACCCTGCCTGGGACTCTTCTTGACGAGCTGTTTATTACCCACTTCTGATCAGTTATGACTCTTTTTCGAGTCATATTTATAGTCATTTGTGCGTCTTATTCGAGTGATATTTCAGCCGTATTTGTAAACATTTTCGAGTCGTTTTCGAGTCATTTTTCAGTTCTATATCCGATTGTTTTCGAGTCTTTTCCGAGTAATTTTCATGTCGTATTTGCTATCGATTGTTAGCCTTTTTAGAATCATTTTTCATTCGTATTTCTAATTATTTTCGAGTCTTTTCCGAGTCCTTTTCAGTCTATTTTCAAATCGTTTGCGCTGCGTAAAATTAACCCTCTAACCGGTAAGAGTGCCTCAGGGCATCCATTACTAAAATCTCATTTTCCCTACAGGGGCATATATTTTTTGTTTAAAATAACTGCCATTAGTTTCATCAGAAATTTGGCATTCTTTGCTTAGAAGCTTTGAATGCTCGCAAAAGTTTCGTTTTCCATTTATGGCCAGTCGCGTATGAGAAGTGTGTTCGTTGACATAATATTCTTTTGCAGTGATTTCTTTGTTTTTATTGTCTAAAACATTGACCAAAATAAAAATTTAGTGATTTGAAACAATTTTTGTTGAAAAGGTACGATATTATGATATCTCTTTGCATATTTAATGGCTGTAAATAAATCGAAATTAGTGTGCTATGAATGAAAAAGTGAAGGATGCCTCAGGGCATCCTTATCGGTTCCGGTGTAAAAAAGCATAGTTCAATATTTCGGCTGATATTTCCTCAGTAGTGGATTTCTTTTATTTTTTCCTCCCATTTTCTCTATTTTTCCAAAGTGATTGATAGATATGGGAGATGCTGTCTATAAACGATCGTCTCGGATAAAGTTATCCGAGTTGACGGAGGAGCAATTGCAGGAAATAATGGATTCGATAGACACTGATGCAGAAAACGATTTCAGTTCCGACGATGATATTGCAGACCCAGAATATATGCCAGAAGGAATAGATCCAGAAGACGAACACATTATATCACAATGCATTAAAGATATAGACGACAGTGATATCTTTATTGATGGCGCGTTAGATATGTCGTTGAATACCAGTGCACTGGAAACTTCGTTGGCAGGCGGAGAAAAAACCACAGAGCTTGATGTGTGTGCCTCCTCTTCGGATACGAAAAATCCGAGAAAAAGAGTTCGGTCTCCGCTACCTACAATCGAAACTGCAGGTCCATCAATAATGCCCTCTGCTGGTGGTTTTACTGGTGAAAGTAAGTATTTGGTGTAAAATTCGTTTCCTCCAATTATACTTATGTATATAAATAAGTATATATGTATGTATATATACATATGTCTTTTGGTAAATATTATTTTTTAAAGGTATCGAATCAATATCTAAGAACTCGCAAGAATTTTCAAAAATTATATGGCGCCAACGGTCACTAAAATTGCATGTTAATGAGGTTGCTTTTAGAGGAGACACCTCGCTGCCAAGTGATGTCAAAAAACTTCGAACACCAATGGAAATATTTTGCTATTTCTTCAACAAAGAAATTATGTCAATGATTTCCGAAGAAACAAATCGTGCAGCTCTATGTGAAGATATAAATACAAAATTTAACACAGACATTTATGAACTTTACAAGTATATTGGTATTTTGATATACATGTCCATTTACCGTTATCCCAACTTGGAGAGCTACTGGGGAAAAAACTCATTCAAGCAAATTCAAAGCACAATGACCTTTAAACGGTTTGAGGTAATGAAAAAGTATTTGTCGTTCCGGAATGAAAGTGAAAGAGTCAAAAAAGGACAACCAGGTTACGATCCTTTGTTTCGGATAAGAGTTCTTTCCGATCTGCTCAACAAACGTTTTGACTCGATCCCAAAGCAGGCGCGACTCTGCGTCGATGAGCAGATGTGCAGCACTAAAATGAGGCACCACCTTCGGCAATACATGCCAAACAAGCCGCACAAATGGGGCATAAAATTATTTGTGTTGTGCGATTCATATGGATTTGCATATCGCTTTGAAATTTATAACGGCGCTGGTGATAATACAATTTTACCAGGAAATCCCGATCTTGGGAGTACTGCAAATGTGGTTATCCGATTATCACAAACTGTAACCGATTTTGTCCATCATATAATTTATTTTGATAACTTCTACACTACGTTGCCCTTGTTAGTTTATTTACGTGCGCGTGGCATTTACAGCTTAGGAACCATCCGGGTAAATCGAATTTCCAACTGTAAGCTCCCATGCGACAATATTGTAAAGGACAAGCCAAGAGGTTTCTCGGCAGAATTTGTGGGCATAGCCTATGGAGTAGAGATCAGCAATGTTTTGTGGAAAGACAATAAGTCAGTTCGATTTGCATCAACTTATGTTGGAATAGAACCGTTTGCACGAGCAAATCCTAATTTACAAGCAAAAAAGGCAACAAGATATGATCGCAAAGGCAAAAAATATATTGAAGTCGACTGTCCCCAAATAATTGACGAATACAATAGCCATATGGGCGGTGTCGATAAGATGGATGGATTAATGGGTCGATATCATATTCGCGCTAAAACACGAGACGCAATGACCAGATTATTTTATCACTTTATTGACATGGCAGCAACGAATTCCTTTATACTGTACCAACGAATTCATAATGAAAGACTGAATGATTCAAATAATGTATCAGTGGAGGAGGAGAAATTATTGCAGTTGCCCGAGTTTCGCGAAGAGATTGCTTCCGGTCTGGTCGCATATACGCAAAAACGAGCATCTGGCCGAAAACCAACGTCTTGTCCATCTACATCACTGACATCAACCTCGAAGCCAGGAGCTATCAGTATTGGTCTGAAAGCGAAACATCCAGTTGACGACGTGCGATTTGATGAAATTGATCATTTTCCAATTTGGCTGAGCAAAGATGGCGGCAAGAGAAAATGCAAATTGTGCAAAACTTCACAAACGCAGTGTATTTGTCAAAAGTGTGATATCCACCTTTGCTGTTCAAGCAACAAAAACTGTTTTTATGATTACCATCATAAATAATAAGTATTTTTTACTTTAACATTTAAATTATTTTACATTGCTCAATAAGAAACACATTCATGAATTCCCTTTATACCAGTGTTTTATTTTTGGCTTTAACCGATATGAGTGCCCTGAGGCATCCTTTCTTTTTTTAGTGTAACAACTAAACGGAAAATTTAATTTTACTTTAGAAGATATTTTTAAGGTCATTCTGCTATAATTTTGCTAAAAAAAATGTATTTACTATTAATTTTTCACTCTTAAAGATTTAGCGGTTTGAGGGTTAAATACGTTATAAATTAATTTATAATTAGCAAGTCAGCATATTTTATTGAGTTAAAAAGAAGCGTTAATGAAATATCGAAATTGTTTTTTGATGAAATTAATAATTACAGTTGAAAATATTTCAAAATTACCTTCAGTAAGGTGATTTTTATTAAAGTAGTCTTCCAAACGCTATTCCCACATAGTTTAAGTAAAGTAGTCAAAATACACATATAAATACTTGACAGCTGTATGTTTTTGAAATCAGCCGCCATGCCAGATTCCCAGTATCTACTTTGATCAGTGTTATGATAGTCAGACCATGCGTGTGGAATTTTAGAACAAGAAATTTTGTATACCCTAATCTACATAATGGTTTCTTAACCTTAATTTATTTTGTTAACCTTGTATTTTATGTCGTTATATTCCATAGGATAACACAAAAACTGAAGAATGGGATGACTCTGAACTTCTAGAACAAAAATCAGAACCCAGAAGAGCCTCAGAAACTATCTCGAACCGACCGCACACTAACAAGAAAAAATGTGATTGGAACAAAACTGAGGTAAAATAATGTTGACATACAATGTTTAGTATTCGCATTTTAATGGTTACACTGGTATACAACAAAAATGTTCAATGGATGCCACTATCTAATCCCTATATAAGATTGCTCGCTGATTCCGAAAATCAAGTTAATTTTTAATTCTATGGATAAGTTTTCGAGATATTTTAAATGTACCGTTATTCAGCTTAAAACAAAAATTGGTTCCACTTAATCACGTATATCTTACAAACCAATTTAACAATCTTAATATGAAATACGGCAAGTGAAAGCTAATAAAATTCTCCATAAACCATATATGTATACATTACTTTCCGATAGGACTTATAGTTTCTGACAAATTAATTAATCATCCCAGTTTTTGTTTGCAATTTACCGTTATTCAGCTTAATACAAAAAGTGGTTCCGCTTAATCACGTATATCTTACGAACCAATTTAACAATCTTATGGGTCGATTACGGATAGCAACACAACCACGGTTCGGTCGCCAGCTAACAACGCAACTGGGAAGAAGATTTGTATTACGAATGGCAACTATCGTCAGTTGCTGTAGAGTTATCGATAATCGAAATTTGACAGTACAACAACCAGAAAGCGGCTGTAAACAAGCTGTGCTAGTAAAATTAAATTATTAAAATAAAGAGCTTTAAAGAAAATACAGCAATAAAGCTAAATTCGTCACAATTATTTGTTTAGAAGAGAAATGCATTTTCTTCAGTAGTAACTTAATTTTTTTATAACAGAACAGGATTTAGCACAGATGCAAAAATTTTGCACAGAATCTGTTATTTTTTAAAATTTTCTTGTGTAAAAGGTAAATTTTTTTTAATTTTTTCATTCAAAATTAAAAAAACTCGAATGATTAATTAATTTGTCAGAAACTATATGTCCTATCGGAAACTGATGTATGTATATATGGATTATGGAGAATTTCAGTAGTCTTCATTCGAGATATTTCATATTAAGATTGTTAAATTGGTTCGTAAGATGTACGTGATTAAGCAGTACCACTTTTTGTTTTATGCTGAATAACTGTATGTAAATTGCAAATATCTCGAAAATGTATCCATAAAAAACCAACTTAACTCGATTTTCGGAATCACGGAGCAATTCTACATAGAAATTGGATAGTGGCGTCTGGAGAACAAAAACCAAACTGAAATTTCTGATCCAGTGTTATTAACTCACTTTAAACTTGCACTTTATTAGACTAAAACTCAATAGACTACAAAAATGCATACCCGAATAACTTCTACAGATTCTGATTAAAAACATATCAATGTTTATTAATTATGAAGAAAAACAAAAAAATCATAAAAATAAAACACAAAAAGTTGTCAGTTCGCACATTGACCCGCAAAGTCCTATTCGGACCAAAAATGATATCGACAGGACAGTTGAAAATCTCACTGATATAATAGTTAAGGCCGCAGAAATTGCAACACCAAATCCTTCTATTAAACATCGCAGTTCTTACTACCCTGGCCTGCACACCCCAAACACTCTTAACTTAATAAGTAAAATGCGCAAATTAAGAATGGAATGGCAAAGAATTCGCTCTCCTAAGCTTAAACAGGAGCTAAGTGCGTGTACAAAGGAATACCGTATTTTGTCGCAGGCGGAAAAAGAAAGAAGTACCCAGTCGATACTTCAGACCTTGTCTGCTTCGAAACAGACTGACTACTCCCTTTGGCGAACACTGAAGCATGCGAAGAGGCCCGTTCTTCGAGAAGCACCATTACGTACTCAGAACCAGGGATGTTGCGAATGTGGAATTTTAGACATTCGCATTCGCATCTGCGGATGTCAAATACAGTGAAAGCTCCAATATGCAGACACCGATGGTCACCTTTTTTGTCCGCCTATGAGAGATGTCCGCTTATAGGAATTTCGTAAAAAATCAAATAAAAATTCATAATTAAAAAATTTAAATTGCGGGTTTCTAAATTAAAGTAATATTTATTCTTCAATAGACAGAAACAGGTTGAATTAAAAATAAATTCAAATTTATTGCGTTTTCTTTCCTACCGACAAATCTCATTGCCCATTGGCAACGAAGAGGCAACACTTTTTCTAAAAAAGAAAATATTTTTGAATATGGGCTATGTTCTTGTGTACATATACATATGTAGAAGCGCAAGAGACAACATTTGACTAAAAAACAAAACAAAATTGACCGCTTGTTAGAGCTTCGCATCCGCTTATGGGAGAGTTTTTTTCATAACTGGACATTTTTGAGTGTCCGCGTCCGTTTATCGGAAAGTCCATGTATGGGAGAGCATTTTGTATGGAAAAAAAACCAAAAATTGTTCGTTCCCAAGAATGTGTCCGCTTATTAGAGCGTCCGTCTATGTGACCTTTCACTGTATTTTAAGAAATATTTTTTGGTGAGTACGTTAGGTGATTTAGGTAAAAAGAAGGAAAATTTAGTAATTTTTAATATTTTTTTTATTTAGTACTTAAATTAAAAAATTGGAACATTGTATTTTCCTGCTTTTTCGGGTGACAGCCTGTTTCCTAACGGGTCGTAAATCAAACCTGCTCCATTAAATAACTACTCGCTCGAGGCGACAAACTTGAAACTTTACAAAATTGTAAATTCTTTTCGATTGGCGCTGAACCAGTTGAGAGGACTTCAGTTTGTTTTTTCCGCGGTTCAATAATTAGAGATTTGCATCGCTGTTTAAACACCGTTGTGTTCCAATTTGGAGAACCAATTCTTTTGGTTGCTTCAGAATTTGGAGAACCTGTTACGACATCAGCGTTTTTCGATTTTAGTTTTTGTTATTCATTTTTAATCCTGCCGTCTGTGACTGGTTTGAATAATGTGTGCTTATAGCGTCGCGACGTTGTGAATAGATGGATATGGCTAATAAATTGTTATTTTGTAGGAATGAGAATTTCGAAGAAAATTCTGTTTTGAAAGTCGTGGCTGCCAGCAGAATTTGTTTAAAATCTTGTTATTTTGTTAAAAAGGTACCCCGTTTTTTATAATAATTTCAATTATTGGAATCTCGGACGATAAAGGTCTCAGATTTGCTTAATTCCCGGGTGACCTCTTGGAAAGGTTCACCTGTAATGAACAGCTTGTAACTAGTTTTTTTTATTAGCTAGCTGAGCTTGGCTTTTCCTAGTTTCAGGCAGTCACAATTAATTACTCACC